CAAAACCAGTGCGCATGCGCATTACAACATCCATGTAATTTCATTACTTTTATTTTTCACTTAGTTTCATATGATTACTCCCATTACTTTTATGTTATACTTATAAATTTGTAATATTTAGCTTTGAATTTGTTACTTAATAATCTGAATATTATTTTTACAATCTATAAAATATATTCTTTTTTATAGATAAATATGAATAGAATGTTTTTTTACTAAAACACTATATTTTTTAAATTCCGGCATTTATGTTCGGTGTTTTATACATATCGTCTGCAATTGCCTTTCTTTTCGTCTCAGTTTAAATATGCGCCGGTGCATGCCAGGTACATGGCGGACCTCAGACACCAACATCAAAGGTGCCGACACGGAGTGACGCTAACGTTCCCCTTTCGCTCCTGACTTTCGACTTTTCCACGCTTGATCACTCACGTTGAATGTTTTAACAATGTACGTGGCGGTTCGTTGATTCAATGCGTTAATCGTTAATCCATTTGAATTCCGCTCCTAATTTGAATATAAATATATACTACATGCGGTAGTGTTTAACCTATTCCGCGTTGTGGCGCTACATGCCGTGAAGCTATCACATTCACGTGATAGCGTAACAGTTGCAAGTACGTCATGTGAGGATAGGGATCTTAGCGGATTTCATTGACGTACCTAGGTGGTAAGGTGCCCGTGGAGCAGAGATGGGCAAAACCCTATGCTCCGAATAATTTTAAAGTTTGCCGATGTGTTTGTCTCGTTTCCTTCTTTGTAAAATGTTCAAAAGAGGAAACGAGACAAATATATCGGCAAACTTTAGATTTATTCGAAGCCTAGGTTTTTGCCCATCTCTGCCGTGGAGTGCGAAATAAAAACCCAAAGTACTTCTAGGAAAAAGTAATGTCTTTTATATTCAATCGACTCGTTTGGTTTAGCTCCTTACGTATTTTGTCACCAGAGGTTCGATTGCGATTGAACTTTTGTTTTTAGTTAGGAAATACGGGAATAACACTACCGGACAGGCAAACCGGAACGATTTTTCAAATGCTCATAACTATGAGAGTTTTCAACCGATTTCGGTAAAACTTCGTGAGGAATAGTCTTCAAGTGTCTTCGGGGTGTGTGCAAAGTTGCATTGGCGAGGGTTGATGTGAAGGGGTTAATTCACCCACCTAAAGGGGAGGTGTAAAAAAACGCCTCTTTGAAACAGGGCAGGGATGACGGAAGGGGTTGAAAAATTCAAAAAATCCTTTGAGGCGACTCTCCTTGATGCCCTCTACAAAATGCACTCCTTGAAATCCCTATCGGACAAACCCACCCCCCACAACCTTCCACCCCCTCTAAAATCCACAATTTTTGGACGACGGTCTCGATTTTGGACTCAATGCATTCTTTGGATCCCCCGATCCAAAAAAAGCTATCACTCATACTGTGCACCCCATAAAGACCCTTTGGGGGGGGGGGGAACAGCTCGCAAATTTTCAACCCCCTTCGTAAGGGAGCTTCCACACATCGGAAGGCGATGAAATTCACCATGTTTGTTCTCGATACGTTAAGGATGAATGCCGAAAAGGACCCGTTTCAAAAACTGCCCCCGGAGCTGAAGGGTGGAGGAGGGTGAGGTAGGGATGGTCCACCCTCGCTCGTTTCGTGGCTTTCGCGGTCGATAATCGATCTACCGCTTGGCCAGTAGGAACGCGGCACGATCATGTGAGAAATGCCTAAGCAGGGAAAGCGGGAGAATGGCAGATTGCCTAACCGCCAGGCGCTTCTGCATGCCGACTTCGCCCGGCCCAGTTACTAGTCTTTCAAATCTGCTCCGATTTGACAACGAAAGCGTTATTGAAAAAATATGAATTTTTGGGACTGTTAATAAAGCATTCGCGCATCCGATACCGTGAATGGCGTTGACGTGGGGTTACTCGTTCACCCTGCAGATGGGTCTGAATTTGGGGGTGGGTTTTCCCAAAAAAACGACATTTTAGATCTTTATTGCCATTCACGCGGGAAAAAGACATCAAAACTGTGTTGCCCCTATGTCCTTGACTGTTGGACAACGTTTCAACCCTTACACTTGGGGTTGGACCATCCCTACATCACCCCGCGCCCCCACCCTTCAGCTCCAGGGGCAGTTTTCGAAACGGGACCTTTTCGGCATTCATCCTTAACGTATTGAGAACAAACGTGGTGAATTTCATCGCCTTCCGATGTGTGGAAGCTCCCTTACGAAGGGGGTTGAAAATTTGCGAGCTGTTCCACCCCCCCCCCCTCCCCAAAGGGTCTACACCCTTATTTAATATACCCTAATACACACTCCCCTTTAAGGGGGTGAATTAACCCCTTCACATCAACCCTCGCCAATGCAACTTTGCACACGCCCCGAAGACACTTGAAGATTATTCCTCACGAAGTTAGGATTTAAATCGGGGGGTTGAGGAGGCCATGCAACTGATCCACAACTGACTAAATCTAAATGAAATCTACTGTCGGCACTTGAATGGGAACATTCAGAATGCAATTTATAAACACTGACATAAACATCGCATGCGATGGAAGCAAGTAAGTCAATCATGATATTAGCAAACAAAAATGTTTACGTCTCAGGGACGGTTAACCTTTGGACCTATGTTTACTAAAGCTTTTTTACTCAGTACAGTGTGCCCTATGCACCATATAAATATTGAATACTTTTTTATGAACATCTTGTATATATGAACTGCTCAACCCTACTCATTATACACTGAGCAGAGCGTAACCAACATCTTCATACCAAAAGTGAGACATGACGCTAATGCGCATGCGTCAAATTCGAGAACTATAGTAAAAATTCTATCTCGATGACAGGCTGACTGCAGCTTTAACCAATGGTCGAAGAGTAGTTCGGCAAACCGTCCAACATTTCAATTCGCGCCTTTCCCGACTGCTATCGCCCATTGACTATAGCGCTTGCGCACAACTGCTTACTCGTAACTTTGGCATGGGAGATGTTGATTACGGACTACACTATAGCTTGAGCGGTCCATGTATGTATGGTCAAAGTCGTCGATAGATTAATTTGAATGCTTCGTGTAGCCCATCAAACTTATTTATCGGCCGATACCGAATTGTTGTAGTGTGCGCACTTTCATATATCTTCATGCTGATTAAGAACCGGATCAAACTATCGGTCGATAGAAAGTCTGCAGTCTGTGGGGGCTCTAAACTTTCAAGGAAGATTGGTTAGTTTCACTCATCAACCGCCGAGCTACAGCGCTCCTCTGGCTACATGGTCGGTAGAGAGGAGGAAACGAGTACTCTTCATTGCTGGTTAGTTGGCACGCGCCATGCGACATGCGCAGAAAAACTCCCTACATCCATTTTAGTTTAAGTAATTAGTAGCACTAGTTCGACACGAGCGCCACTAGAGACTCTTAACTGTTACGCACTAACATGTACCAGTTAGTCAAGTAGTAGCGATCGTAGACCAACGTTGTCTAATTAAAGTTATTCAGTTTAACGTTAAAGGTGTTGATTAATTCGCTCTCCCCATTGCGAACCAAAGTGTGGACGCTACAAACGGGTCTCCGCTCTGCTATCTAGGAGTGACATGGGAATTAATTTATCTCTATCAAAAATAGCGGTACGCAACACCTCCCCCCTTTTACAAAAAAAATATTTCCTTTGGAAATAACTTTTTTCAATTTAAAGCTGCCATTCACATTCTTCTCCACGCATACAATTTATGAAGGGAAATTATTAATATGACGAATCTTACATTTAACAATCTAAATAAGAGTGAACAAAAATTTCAAAAGTCCGTCAGGGGTTGTCAGCCACACCCCGAAATCTCCTCCTTATAGCATGATCACAAGAGCTACTCGATCCACCCTTGATTCTACGGCAGTTAGAGACGAAACGAAGCATGGATAACCAAAACCCCTAGCACGCATGTCTACTTTAACATACATCTTATGCAGAGGCTTACATTGGTAACGCATTATTGTACATTATTCAACATTATCAGTAGTACTATCAAGTCTTATACACGCTAACTTAAGTTTGTTACGTCCCAGCTTATCTGAGACTCTTTCTTGGGATCTTAGTCTTCAATTAAAGAGCTAAAGCTCACCTTAACTGTATTCGCTAACGGGAAAGAGCAATTCGGGATTGCAATGATTGTTTCCAAGGTTTAGCATATAAATATGTATTGTTACAAAATAACAAGTTTATATTACAATATCGGTTTTGGGAAATCAAGTATACAATTAGTCAGGTACGTTACCGCTTGTCGGTCTTACAGTTTGGTTGTACCAGCTATCTGTTGTGGTCCCAGGGCTGTGCTGTTGCAAGGATCTATTTGTCGGCAACTATCACTCGCGACACGGGTCTCTACTAATTAACAACAGACTTTCCTCGGTAACGACCCAGCGCGCGTACGATTACTCTATCCGTGACTACAATAATTTAGTATTTGATGACCAAAGCGCGACGCTGAGTGCGTGTTCGATTGATGATAAAGGTTCGATGAGATCTTAACCGATTATACGTCGGACTTTCGTAGGTAACGACAACGCGTGAAGTTAACCTGTCCGCGACTACAAGTTTTCGGTAATCGCCACGATGATAACGTACTGACAGCGGAATAAAAGAGCTCCCGTGAGGCGTGTCCACGGGTTTATATACTAGCTGATCCTCGCATGGCACGAGCCGCGTTCGGGAACCTTCGTTTTTGCATCCGTTGAAATCGGGAGGAATCCCAAGTTCAGCGGATGTGCTGGCGTTGAGTGCTGACGCCTATTTCGCTGATTCGCGGATCCCACGATTCGGTTCCCGAGAAACGGTTTCCGAAACGTGCGTCAAGCGCATTCCTAAAAGTATTTGATCCTAACTCTTCGCAGTGCGAGGTCGATGAAAAGGGACACCGGCAGGGCCGGATGTAACAAGTTTATTAACATGAACAATTTTGAATTTATTTGCTGATAAAGCAATTTCAACATTTAAATCGTTTAATTTTCGAATTATTTTATAAGGGCCAGTCCAATAAGAATCAAATTTCGATGTTTCAAGTTCCCTTAGCAGGTATACATCATCATTTAAATTAAATTTGTGAGAGTTTACATTTTTGTCATAATGTATTTTACTTTTTTCTTTAACTCTTTCAAGGTTTTTTGCTGCCATTGCCTGAGTAGGAGTGACCCTTGTGAGAAGCTGATCTAAATACTGGATAAAGGTTCGCGGAACTTCCTGCTTCGCAAACTCAGAAGGAATTACGGCCTTTACACCAAAAACCAATTCATGTGGAGTAAAACCTGTGGACTCATGTACAGAGGTATTGTATGAAAATATACCAAATCTTATCCAATAGTCCCAATCTGATTTTGTACAGTAATGTTTAAGATAGTCTATGAATACACGATGAGCTTTTTCCAGAGATCCTAATGACTGAGGGTGAAATGCAGTAGAGGTAATTCTTTGAATTTTAAAAATCTTACAGAAGTTTTTCATAATTCCACTAATGAAATTACTTCCCTGATCTGTATGAATAGCCCTAGGACAACCGAATCTACTGATAAACTGTTCGGACAAAGCGGCAGCGACAGATACTGAATCGATATTAGGTAAGGGAATAGCATCAGAATACTTAATTAAATTATCCTGAATTAAATTATCCTTCAGTAAATAACGATTCCCTCTTGAAGTTAAAAGTAATTGACCCACAATGTCCATCTGCACTTTTTCGAACGCGACCTTGGGAGTGTCAGTAATTCGCATGGGTTGTCTAGTCTTTGCAGAACGAATTTTATTTCTTTGGCATATTAAGCAGGTACGTACAAATTCTTTAATTTGCCTTCCCATACCAGGCCAATAAAAATGTTCTCGGATGCTGCTATAAAGTTTAATTATGCCTTTATGACCCCCTATTACAGACTCATGAAACTCCTTAATAATTTTAAATCTCCTTGAATGAGGCGGAGTTTCAATTTCACCAGTCCAAACTGTAATTATGTATTTGGAGTCATTAAAAATTTGATTTATCGTATCCATAATAAAATTCCATTCGATGGGTTCAAGATTATTGTCATTCTTTGATATACTAAAGGTTTTCAAATTTGAGGAACCTAATAGGTGCTTCAAGGATTTAATGGAGGAAACAATGTGAACAGGGTTTGGTTTATCCTGAGAAACAGCTTTAAAGAACAAATGGTAAATACGAATTTTATCAGCAGGGAAGGTCATGGCATCACCGACATTCAAAGAATACTGTTTCAGTTGATCAATGGAAAACCCTCTTCGTGCAAACAAATCCTGTCCAATCTGTAAAATGTTATTGCAATCAAGTGGTAGAAAATGGACAAGGTTATCTCTACGCATAAAAAGGTCATCTTTACTATTAAAAATTACAGGTAATGGAATAAGATCAGTTGTATCAGTTGTTTCTCTGTCGGAGTCTCATATTAAAATTTTGTTTTTTTCAGAGTCGTTAACGGTTTTTTCACTTGGGATCCTCCGTGCGGTCTTGGTCGCGAAACTGGATATGTGCTGAGCAATCACTAGGTTCCCCGGGGACCTCTGCCGTGACATCGTCGTCAACAATCTACTGGGCATCACAGCCTTCGCTACAGCACACTCCGAAAAACAACCAGGCTCGTCAGCATCTGCCACGACAACAGTCGCAAAAACAGGCTCCCCACACCTGTGCCGCGATCCAAGATTACGCAGGCCTTATAACACTGGCACCCTTATTGAAAACGGACTACCTCCAATGACATCGGGAGCGGTTGCCTGGGGTTCAGTCATCCCGTCCAACCGATTGCGCAAAGGAAGCTCATCACTAGTCTCCAACCGGGGTAATCCCTTACCGTTAATGTTAGCTTGAATACATTCATTCCCAACAGAGGGCAAACTAACATGATGGGAACTTGTATCAGCTTTACTTAAAATGTCACATCTGTCATCATCATTAGAACAAAAGCATTTTTCCACATTAAAGTTTTCCATTAACTCTTTTCCTTTTTCCTTTCGTTTTTCTTTTGCTCCTCCATCCACCCAAAAAATTGAAACTATCATTTCCTCATTACTATAATTAACAAAATGGTCATCAACCCTGCTCGTACAAGTATCTGAAACCGATAACTGGTCTGCGCAGTCCAGCATCTTTTCCAAACGCTTTGAGCAAGGTTTAAGAGACTTTTCTACTTTGAGGAAGACTTGACGGAGAGTCGCGAGTTTCATTAGATAGAATTGGATTTCGAGGAAGTCCATCAGCGTTAGAATTTACTTTACCAGGTTTATACACAATATCTAATTGTATATCAATCTAATTCTCCATCTCATTATTTTAGAAGCTGGATCCTTCACATTGTGCAGCCAGATCAACGGCCTATGTGTCCGTAACTAAAGTGAATTGCTAACCATATATGTAAGGACGAAAGTGTTCTACACCAAACAAGACAGCTAATAATTCCTTCTCAATAGTGGAATAATTAGTTTCAGCGTTATTCAGAGTTCTAGATGCGTACGCTATAGGAAGATCCCTTTCGATAGGCCCTTGACTCAGCACAGCCCCCAATGCATATTCTGACGCTTCGTTTGTAACTAGGAAAGGACGCGAGAAATCAGGAAACTGTAATAGTGATTTCGAACAGATACTATCTCTCAAGATCTCAAAAGCAGTTTGAGTTTCAGAATTCCAGCAAAAAGGGGCACCTTTTTTAAAAGTTTTGTAAGTGGTTTTGAAATCTTGGCCATGTTTTTAATAAATCTCCTACAAGAACCAATTAAACCTAAGAATTGTTTAACATTTTTCCTAGTCTTAAGTATGGGGAATTGTTTTACCGCCTTGACTTTCCCAGGATCCGGTCTTACCCCGTCGGTGGTAAGGACATGCCCTAATATACTATTTCACGGCAAAGGAAATGACATTTCGAAGGCTGAAGCGTTAATCTAGTATTTTGCAAACGCGCTAAAAGAGTTTTAAGTTTACTTCCATGCTCCACTAGCGAATTTGCATATATATAACTATATCGTCCATATAAATGAAAAGGTCACTCCCTTGTAAACCAGATAATAGCACATCCATAACCCTTTGAAATGTAGCCGGAGCATTTTTTAAACCAAACGGCATTTTATTAAATTAAAAATAGCCATGGGGTGTTGAAAACGCGGTCTTTGATTTGGAAGCAGGTTCAACAGGAATTTTATGGAAACCCGAGGCCAAGTCTAAGGTACTAAAATACTTCGCCCCATCTAATTGGTCCAGAATGTCCGTAATATTGGGTAGCGGGTAAGCATCACTAAACCGTCTTTTCATTTAATTTTCTATAGTCTATGACCATTCACCAGCGAGCTTTTCCGGAAGAGTCTGACTTCTTTGGAACTATCCATACGGGAGAATTATACGGCAATACTGAGGGTTGAATAATATTATCGCTGAACAAAGTATCTACCTGTTTCTGAATTTCGGCTTTATGAATCAATGGAAAACGATACTGTTTGGTATTAATGGGTATTTCATCAGTAGTTACTATGGAGTGCTGACGGGCGTTAGAACAACCTAATCTATCTGCGGAAAGGTGAAATTGGTAAGGGAATTTATTGATTATTTCTAAAATGTTAACTTTCTCAATTTCGGTAAGATGCTCAAAATTGAAAGTTTCTACCAACTGGGCAAATCGCTGCGCATGCGCATTTGATCAATTGAGGTTAGAGTCCGTTTCTCGAGATGAACGTTGTGCAAGGTTCCTAACCTCGAAATCCTCTAACTCAACAGGGGGTATATTTAGGACAATTTTATCAGTGGTGGTATTAATTATAAATACTTTCGTATACCCATTCTCTTGAGCTGCCAAAACCTCCCCCATATAAACCCCTGGACCAACGTCCATTCTTCTTATATATCCCGTTTCATTTTTATTCTTTACAGGAACTGAAATTATAACCTTAGTACGTGGAGGAAGATCGAATGATGCAAATGCTGAAAAAGATTATACCCTTTTCCCAACTTCAAGACTATGCGGAAGCTTGTCTCTGAATATCACTGTAGCATCCTGTTTCTCGAGGAAGGAAACCCCAACAATTCCAGGTTGCTTTATTGGAAAATCATTATCAACGACTTGGAAGTTAATGGGGATTTGATTGATAGGAATCATAACCTCACCACAAGTCTGAATCATTCCCGGACAGATTCCAGTAAGATTAAGAACAATTTGTGTATCTACTACTGCGTGTGAATCCAAACACTGTCACTTAATTAAATTTAATAGTGATCCGGTATCTACAAGGAAATTGGCATAACCATCGCAGAAAAACATATGTTCCAATCGAACTATTAATTAACTGGGCTCTGAGAAGCTTGAACAGTGGGCGATACAATAGTATCTATTGCATAATATAATGCGCGCAATTAAGGGTTTGCCCTGCGATGCGCTTATTCGAGGGCCCCTGTTGAAGTTTAAATCCTATGAAGACTCTGCGAGGGAAAATCCGGATGTCCTAAATTTAGAAGACGAGTTTTGATTAAAGCACCGTTCCTTTATATGGCCGCTTTTTCCACAATACCACATCTAAGTGTCCTACGAACATTTGACTCTGCGCATAGCAGGTTTTTACTAAAGCACCGTTTTTCAGTATGCCCGCTTTTCCTACAAAATCCGCATTTAAGCGTTCTATGAACATTTAACTCTGAATACGGTTCCTTTTGACTTTTATGTTACGTATGCACACCCGTTCTTTTTGAAGCTCGCGTTCATTTATTTTATCTACCCCTTGGAATGTGGAGTCTGGTCTTACCGAAGTGCACCCTGCAGCTGTACCATACTTTTCTCAGAATCATCTTTTAACTCGCGTTGCGTGGGTAACCCTTATCTAAACTTTCCCTAAAGCCACATAGATGTTCACCTCTGAGTAACGAAAATTTTAACCGCCAAATTTCCATATATGGGAATGACTGACGTATCCCCACCAATATCTAGCGGTATATAAACCCATGATTTTCGTTACTCGGGGGAATAGTACGAAAGATTTACTTGGTAAAGTCACGTCGATCGTCTTCAGAGTTGCGCTTCAGTGAGATCGAGCTTCAGATCCCTTTCGATCAACATTAACCATATAGATCCGCGAGGACGGTATAAAATTTATTACGGCATAGAAGCATTCTCGACCTCCGCATCGCCAGTGCGTTAACACCGTGCAACAATTAGGTAATTAAATTCATACACCAACCGCGACAACACAACACTGTACAATTGTATTATTAGTATTATTCAGTTTCGAATATATAATCATTTGTTAACCTTAAAAGGTCTGTTAAATCATTATTAAACCTTCACCATTGGAATAAGCAATCCTAACCAGTGTAACGACCCCACAACATAATAACTTTACCGCTCGAGTTATTATTTGTTTAGAATTAATAGTTGCGAGGCTTTATCCACGACGCGTACTATATTCCAACGATACGATTCAATCCTTACCTAACCTTACCAACGGTTACCCGTTATCGAGAGATACCGATCCTACGGTTACCCTTTACCGGGAGATACCAATTCCCAGCAGCTATCTGACTTCGCGTCAGAGTCGTCTGCGATTTCTACTCCATCCTTAATCTTTGGATCCATCGAAATAAACAGGACTAATCGTATCTTCTTCGATTCTTGAATTCAACCCACTCGCAGGGCTCACACGCGCGTCGCTATCGCCCTGGCTCGTAACATTTACAATTCTTACGCGTGTGTCCCAATTGATCGCAATTGAAACACCTGCGAGCCGGAGTACCCACTACACACATTCTTGTATTAATACCAAATGAGTCTGAATTTAAAGGCAACTTTTGAAACTCAAACTCCCTTGCCAATTTCGATGCAAAATTGATCACGGACTCCAAACTATCTGCCTGCTCTCTAATCATTAACATCCTGATGTTTACATTAAATAAACCCCTCTTAAATCCCGTAATCGCCGATCTCTTAAGAAGAACCCTGGCCCCCTCGGATTGCTGAAGATCAAAGTTCTCCTTTGACGCTGTAAGTCCCCTATCCAATATTTCATTAACCCGTGCTCCATAACCCTCAAACACTCTCCCCATTACCTTGATAAGCGTTTTCTAACTCATCATAAATTCGATCTATATCAAAAGATTGTACAAAAATAGATTTAATTGTATTTATCAATTCCTCTAAAGTATTTGGCTCGCAGCTGTTTGCGATCAATTGGTCCACATACCCACATATCTTATTCCGTATTAGAGCTAGTAAATTAATCCTATCCCCAGCCCTGACTCGGGAATTCGCGAGATTACATTGCCTAATAAATTTGGTTAAAGAACTAGCTTTACCATCAAACATCGGGACCAGATCAGCGGCCTTTTTTAACGGCGTAAACGCAATTTCCGAAACACTAGAAGGTATTTCAATAATATTTCCAGTACTAGACGTATTTGAAGATGAATATTCAATACTTGTAACCGAAGAATTATTTTCACACAAAGCAACCTGTAATGGCTGTTACGTATACAGAAACTCTCCGTTTTTAGAAGTTCGCGTTCATTAATATTATTTTATCTACCCTTCTGGAATTTGGAGCTCGGTCTCGTTGGAGTGCTCTTAATATCATCTTTGACTCGCGTTGCGTGGGATACTTTCTAATCTACCCTTTTCCCAGGGCACACAGCTGCCGACCTCAGAACAACGAAAATCTTAACCGTCAAATTTCCTAATATGGAAATCACTGGCGGTTCCCCACCAACATTTAGGGGTATATAAACCCACGATTTTCGTTGCTCGGGGGCTAGTACGAAAGAGTTACTCGTTAGAGACACATTGATCGTCTGTAGAGTAGTACTCTAGTGAAATCGGGCTTCAGTTCCTTTCGATTATCGTTACCATATAGATCCGCGAAGACGGTTTTAAAATCTACATATTACGGCCATAAAAGTACTCTCGACCCCCGCATCGCCAGTGCGTCAACACCGCGCAACACTTAGGTAATTTTAACTTCATACACTAACCGCGACAACACGACACTGGACACTTGTAATTAGTATAGTTATTTTTGAATATGAAGCACACGGCTTCGAGGCAAATTTCTAAACAGTCTCAGTTCGTGGATGATACGCTATTTAGCTTCTTCATTTGGATCTGAACGTTCGGACTGTTGAACACAGCATTTTAGCTGCGCATAGTTAGAAAGCACCGAATTTTTCATTGTGTTATACAGTGTCACCTTTGCACTTTGCTGGAAAGCACCTTCATGTACTGGCAGCTCATTTCGATTTCACTTCTTTTTTTAC